CCTATAGACATGCGCTTAAGCTTTAAGCCCGTTAGGTACTCAGGACAATTCCTTCGCCAATGACCTTCCTTGCCACAATGATGGCACTTCCCTTTCTTTAAAGGTTTCTTGTTTTTAGATGTTCCACCTTTTGCCTTCAGAGTGTTTGCCTTTTTGTTGTTATTCTTCTTTCCTTTTAATTTGGAAGAAGAACCCATAACAAAAGCAACCTCTTTGCCCTTTCCCTTCTTTTGATTTTGATACGTTATCAACATGTTAAGGAGTTCAGGCAAAGAGCACTCAACTTTATTCATTTGATAATTTGTAATGAATGCGTCAAATGATGATGGCAGGGACTGGAGAATAAGATCGGTTTTAAGTTGAAAATGCATATCAAAATCCAAATTCTCCAGTTGATAAATCAAATTTATCATCTTTAGGACATATTGTCCTACATCTTGCCCTTCTGACATTCTTGAGCCAAACAATTCTTTGGAGATTCTAAATCGAACAATTCGACTAGATTCCCCAAAGAGTTCTTTACAACTTTCAATTATATCTCTTGCATACATCATGAATTCATGTTGCTTTTGGAGCTCAGAATTCATCGATGCAAGAATATAACTTTTGGCTCGGAGGTCATGTTCCAACCATTTGTTATATGCCTCCTTTTGAGTTTCAGAAGCATCATCATTAGGCTTATTAGGTGGTGACTCATCTAAAACATGGCTGATTTTCTCCATGGTTAAAACAATTTTTAAATTTCGGAACCAGTCATTGAAGTTGAGTCCGGTTAAACGATTTTTGTCTAGAATGCAACTCAGGGGATTCATGTTCGTAGACATTATAGTTCTGCATAAAGTAAAGATTCCAGTTAGTTGATGTTTTTGTTAATTATTTGATTTGGCCTTTAATCAAATAATTCCTCCCACTAATTTTATCGAATCTACACTTCCCAAGTAGAAACGGGATTTTACAAGGAAATCCATAGTAGGTAAAAGACGCTTGCCCCTATTTATATGACGCCGTTCCGGAGGGAAAATAGCGTGATATAAATAGTTAGATTAATTTCCACCATTATGCACGACTATGATTAAAAACGTCATATCCTCGTACCGGAGGGTAAAAAGAATACGTACGTTCATAGCCCCACAGCGAACCGTTTCTTGTTAGATTGCCAGAATACCTTTAGGAGACTATGATTGAAAACTGCACATTCCATACCGGAGGGTAAAAAGAGTATGCAGTTCATAGCCCTTAACGAGTATCCTGTAACCTATAAATGGTGGAGGGCAACAGTAAACAGTTTTACCGTCTTTTATAATCTAATATTAGCACGTGGGAAGATTACCGGTCTTTAATTTTAGGTCTCACTTTGCACATGTTTTACTGGTTTCAGTTTGTACGCTACAACTAGAAAGCAATAAAACATCCATCA